CCACTAACTGTAGCATATGTTTTCATGTCAGTTTTATAGGCACTACTTTTCATTTGTCGTATGCAATAAAGAATTTATTACATACAATTGTGAAATATAAGTTGTCTCATAATAAATTTGTTTTTAAATGCTTTTTACTGATCATTTCTATGGCATCCATGTAAACTTGTATCTGTAAAATTTAAACACATAGCAGGCCTCTATACATGTGCAATATTGAGTATTCATGATTTTAGCCTGTTTAGGAGACAGGGAGTTATGGTATAGGCATGCTACTTGGTAGAAGCTTAGTTCTAGGTAAGTTCTAGTAACTTAGTTCTAGTAACTTGCTGTACTTTCACGTTGAACGGAGATGTGGCCATTTTGTCAAGTTATCTTGGGAGGCCACSAAGGCTTTTATGGGAAAATCTGGATTGACACACTCCTCTAGGGAACAGGTGTGATTACTGCAAATTTATTCTACTGTGATTTCCTGGATCCCTCATATGGCTCCCCATGAGCCCAAACCTATCCTGATGACTGTGTCTTAATAGCCTCCTCAGTTCCCCCACCAAAGAGGGGCAAATTACCTTCCTTCTATGAGCCAAATAAGAAGGACAGAAATGATTTAAAAAGCAAATGAGATTTTGCCACAGGATTAAACCAAAAGTATCCATAAAGCCCCTGCCATTTCTGAAAAGTAAATGGACAAATAAGGAGGTGAGTGGGCCCTGAAGGGTACGTGGAGCTCTTCCTTGAGAGCAGAAAACATGAAGCCCACCCCTCACCCTTCCCTGTCCCTCACTTGAGGGCCCTGAACAGAGTGGTAACCAGCTGTGGGCTTGACTCACAGGGTGTTCCACTAATAAGAAGGGTTTGACCAGAAAAAAATTCTCAAGGAGAACTGTTTGGAAATAAGTCTGATTGTTGACCATAAGATTATTTTWAAATTAAGCTAAAAACCACCAGTGGTGTTTTATTTCTTATAGAATATTTTAGGGATTTTAGAAACTTATTATTATTGAAGATTCTCTTTAGCTCCAACTTCTTAGAACATGTTGCTTCTCAGAAAAAGATGATCTCTGCTGTAGAACAGAGGTTAAAAAAAAAATATCTGTGTGGTGAATTGTTTCCAGTTCTTGGAATAGTGGCTGTTGACCCCACAGAGACCACGTGAGCCCAGGCCAGAGTCTGAGGCAGCTGGCCATGGTGGAGGGTGAAGGGTGAAGGGTGGTTTTCCAGCCCTGCAGGTCTCCTCTCTGATCCTGGGCATCCATCACCAGAGGCAGCCAGTGATGATTTCCACAATTTTATGACTCCTGGCTGTTGTCCCAATAACAAATAAGTCAGAAGCCACCCTCTTCCCTTCTGTAAAATTCCACTTCTTCACCCTGGCCTTTCTACCAAGAACTTTACAAAACAGTGGAAACAGGGCCTCGTGCCTCACGGCTTTTATGTATGATTAGCATATTTCTGACTGTGCCTCCTCTGATACCCCTTCCCCAGTAAGAATCAGGGAGTACGCGGCAGGATAGAGACAGAAAGAAGGAAATGCTGGCTTTGCTTGGCCTTTTCCATGGACAAGTGACTGAAATCCCAGAAGTTGTCATTGCTATATTGTATGCAGCATCTAGAACAGTGTGGATATCTAGTTGACATGATAAATAGACCAGAACCATTTTCTGAGTTGTAGAATGGGGAGCTTGACTTGATCAGAAGAGTCGTGGGAAGAAGCAGGTCAAGTACGAATGGTAGGTGAGCCAGAACTGCTGGGCATGATGATGTGTGCAGACGCGTAGACACAGCACCCAGGTGAGGGGTGGAGTTCAGAATTCAAACCAGAGGGAATGCTTCCTCTCATCCGTGGGGTCAGGGTAAAGGTGAGGTTCAGAACTGCCCTGAGGAAGTCAGAGCACATCTATCAAAAGTGGACTCAGAACAGTCCCCTGCCAATTCTGGAACTGGAACTACCTAATTAATCTCTGTCTTATATTTTAAAAGTCTTGGTTTGGGTAGGAAAGTATTGGTAGATTTTTCTCTAATTTTCAGAGCCAAGCCAGGTTTCATAGATGGGTGTGACCATCTATGGCTAGAGAACTAAGTGCTCCTGAATGTCTGGCCATTTGGAGAGCTCTACTCCAGCCACCTAGTGCCCACCACATACAATAAGCTTGGTTTAACACTGGGGGAAACACAAAGAAGTGTGAAGTATAAACTATAGCTCTCACCACCCAAATGTAGTCTGGTTATGGAAATAAGACCTAAATATGTAAACAAGCAACACAAAAGGAAGTGATTTTACAAGGCAGAAACACAATTCGTGGTCAAATGGATGGTACGTATGTTAAGTGCTATAAGAACAGAGAGTGGTAGTGACCACCATGGGTTGGGGTATTCTGGAAATAGGAGGGCTCTAACTGGCTGGTCTTTGGCTAAGCTGAGAGAAGCAGTGAATGCATGCAAGTATGTGAAGATAGGGAGAACAGGAGGCATTCTAGAAAGAGCGAGCAGACCAGCCTTGATAGTGTTGAGCATTCAGGAAAGTTCAAGTTGACACTGAAGCCAGTGAGATAGTTGGAATCAAAATATAAAAGTGTTGGTCCTCATCTCCTCCTTGGACAGCAAGGAGTCATTGAAAGTCATTTGGATAGAGGAGTAGAAGAGTGATGTGCTCAGAGATTTTGTTGTTGTTCAGAGATGCTTTAGGAAGATAAATTTTAGAATCAATCTTTTTATTTATTTATTTATTTTAATTCTTACAGTCAATCTTATGGGGAGAAAGAGTGCTCAGGTAGATCAGATGTCTGTATTTGCTTCGGTGCTACCGAAAGCAATAAATACTTCCACTTTGGAAATGGCAGCAAGAACAGAAGTAAAGACTTAGGTGCAAGGGACATTTTGAAGGAAGGGGAAATTAAGACTTGGCACCTTCTTGTCTGTGGAAGTAAAGACAAATCATCAAAGGTAATTGCACAGTTTGGAAATTAAGTGACCAGAAGAATATTTGATGAACAGAAATAGAGATATTAGGATGAAGGATGAGATGGGTAGGTGTTTAGGAAAAATTCAGCTTTGGAAGATCATATTTCATGTTGTAGCAGGAATAGATATGACTGGAATAAAGGAGGGGGAGCTCAGCCTGTAATAAACATGTGGGCGCTGACTGCATCGAAATGACAGTTTAAAATGTTTGAATGGATGATATCTTCCAGAGAGAGTCAAAATGTTGGACATTCCAGCATTTTAAAGGAGGAAGAGGAAGAGGAGCCACTCACTATACAATGTGCAATTAGATATTAGGAGGAGAAGGTTACAGATTCACATAAGTCCAGATAAGAGCATCAAGAAGGAAGTTGTGGTCAGCAGCATCAGATGTTGCAGAGAAGTTAAGGAGCATAGGGGCTGAAARAGAGTCATTGGTTGGGCAATTAGGAAGTCATTCACCTTTAAGAACACAGGCCTGTCCTGCACGCATGTGCTGGGGGAGATGGAATAAGAGGCAAGCATCCCAGAGAAGGGAGCATGCACCACTGACGTACAGGTAAGAAGGAGAGGTGAGGGGCCAGCATGCAGCATTAGTCTCTCCCCTTCCAAGCTGGCAGTCTGTGTGTCCACACACGGGAAGGAGAGAAGGAAAAGATTAAGCTATTGATTCATTTAGCCAACCTTTGTTCAGTGCCTGCTAAGGACTTGGGACCAATTAACAGCAAAAATTGAAAACTGCTGAGAAAGAACAGGGGAGGAAGCAGAGTTCAAGTGAAAGTGGGAGAATATGGATTGAGAGACTAGGGGGCATTTTTAGTGTGGGAAAGGAGAGACATGTCTTCCCGAGGGACTGGAGACAAGGAAAGGATGGAGGATGGATGTAGACTGAGGAATGTTCTGAAGTCAAGAGAATCAAGGAGGAAGTGAGGCTGACCTCAGGCCTCTGGGCAAAGTGGAAGGTGGGTCCTCTACTGAGCAATCGCAGACCAGTGGGGCGGGAGGCGGGACAGAAAGGAAGATGGGGAACAGCCCCTCTAGGTAATGCTAGGGGCCAGGACCAGCTCCAACGGTGCAGGACAGAATGCCCGCTCTTCTGTGCTTCTGTAGGAGGTGTCGATGGACAACCACTTAGAAGATGGGCAGTATTTGTTTCTACTTTTACCTTTAAGAACTTATCATTCTTCACCACTATATTATTTTTCTTTAATACATTTCCTATGAATTCTTATTTTTTTCTGATATCACCATAATTGAAAGTTGTACAGCTATTCCGGAATAATGGTCTTAAAAGATTTCTGAGGTTATCCAGATTGTGGATATATTAGTTTGAAGTCATAGTACTTTGTAGATAAATTTATTGATATATGAATTTACCAGGAAAAGTAAGTGAATAGAACCCGTGAATCGTGCTACCATCTGCCCCACAAAAGACTGACAGGATGTCTTGTTCTGCCCAAATGAAGATGCCCAACCAACTGTCAATCCATGCAGTACCGCAAGATTCATCTAGGTTGACCAAGATGCCAGGTGGTTACTTTGTCTCATCCAGAAGAGCCACAATGGGGCCTGGGTGGGGACATGTTTCCTCAAAGCAGTGAATCTGACTGTGAGGGTCTGTGGACAGGATGAGCAGGGGCCAGGTGCAGGATGGTTACCTGGGTCACTTGATGTAGTCTTCAGCTTTTCTAGTATGCAACGTGGTGAGAGTGGAGAAAGAGGTAAGTAAGTGTCTGTCACGAATAATATTTGTAAGAAATAAATGGTGAACTAAGTCCTGATATCCTAATTCTGTATCTGCATCTTGACTGTGGGTCACGATGTGTCTCCTAGTGGTGGCAGCGGGAACACTGGACCCACTTGATCCCTCAAACTGGGTCCCAGGGTGTGCTTCCAGGTGGCCTAGATTCACGATTCCAAGCTGGTTTGGAAGTGGGAGGACAATATCCTGTGTGACTCGAGCCAGAACCCAGATGACTCTGTTGAGTTCACTCATGCAAGGGAGACTCAAATATTTGCTTTCCTTTTCCTTCTTGTAGGTATGGCCTCACATGTGCAAGTTTTCTCCCCTCACACCCTTCAATCAAGTGCCTTCTGTAGTGTGAAGAAACTGAAAGTGGAGCCGAGTTCCACCTGGGACATGACTGGGTACGGCTCCCACAGCAAAGTGTATAACCAGAGCAAGAACATCCCGCCTTCTCAGCCAGCCACCACGACCGTCAGCACCTCCTTGCCGATCCCAAACCCAAGCCTACCTTACGAGCAGACCATCATCTTCCCAGGAAGCACCGGGCACATAGTCGTAACATCAGCAAGTAGCACTTCTGTCACGGGGCAAGTCCTCGGCGGACCACACAACCTAATGCGTCGAAGCACTGTGAGCCTTCTTGACACCTACCAAAAATGTGGACTCAAGCGCAAGAGTGAGGAGATTGAGAACACAAGCAGCGTGCAGATCATCGAAGAGCATCCACCCATGATTCAGAATAATGCCAGCGGGGCCACTGTAGCCACTGCCACCACGTCCACTGCCACCTCCAAAAACAGTGGCTCCAACAGTGAAGGAGATTATCAGCTGGTGCAGCATGAAGTGCTGTGCTCCATGACCAACACCTACGAGGTCTTAGAGTTCCTGGGCCGAGGGACGTTTGGGCAAGTGGTCAAATGCTGGAAACGGGGCACCAATGAAATTGTGGCCATCAAGATTCTGAAGAACCACCCGTCCTATGCCCGACAGGGTCAGATCGAAGTGAGCATCCTGGCCCGGCTGAGCACGGAGAGTGCCGATGACTACAACTTTGTGCGGGCCTACGAGTGCTTCCAGCACAAGAACCACACGTGCTTGGTCTTTGAGATGTTGGAGCAGAACCTCTATGACTTTCTGAAGCAGAACAAGTTTAGCCCCTTGCCCCTCAAGTACATTCGCCCGGTCCTCCAGCAGGTGGCCACAGCCCTGATGAAACTCAAAAGCCTAGGTCTTATCCATGCTGACCTCAAGCCAGAGAACATCATGCTGGTGGATCCATCCCGGCAGCCATACAGAGTCAAGGTCATCGACTTCGGTTCAGCCAGTCACGTGTCCAAGGCTGTGTGTTCCACCTACCTGCAGTCCCGATACTACAGGTAAGACCGTCAGCGCCGAGACGGGTGCAGAAAGCCCAGTGGCATTCAGAGTATGCAGTGGCAGTCTCTGTGGGGGAGACAAAAGTATCTTCCAGCAGTTGCTGCCCTCAAGTGACCTTAATGTGGTTGGGAAATTAGGACATGTGTACACTGAAATGAGAATGAGAAGCCGTCTAAGCCAAGTAGGCCAGGGAGCCAAGGAAGATGCTTGGTCCCGATGTTCAGAGTTGAAAAGGACCCCAGGGAGTGAGTAAAGAGCAGAGCAGAGGAGTTGTCCTCGTGGATGGGGAGGGCCCAGGCAGCTGGAGGACAGAGCAGGACAAGCCACTCAAAGGCACACTGGTAGTGGTGTGCCAGACTCATGCAGGGGGCAAGCAGCCTGGCCAGATCAGAGGATTTTTGAGTATTGAGAGATGTGATTGAAAAGACAAGTTGGGACCAGGTCTTGAGGGGTCTCAAATGCCAAACTAAGGAATTGCAGCTGTATCTCTAATCCTTGAACAAGCCTTGGAAACTCTGAACATAAAGGGGTAACAGGTTGAAAGTGATGTTTCACATAGAAAGGTGGCTGGAGGGAGGGGAAAGTATAGTCGAGGGACTGGTCGGCCCCTCCTGTAGCAAAGTAACCTCAGGCACTACCTCCAGATGCTGGAGGTAGTGCCTGAGGTTACCTTTTTATTATTATAACAAAAAATCTGAGGCTGGCTAATATTGTTAAAAAAATAGGTTTATTTAGCTTATAGTTTTAAAGGTGCAAGGGCATAGTGCTGGCATCAGCGGGACTCTGGTTAAGGCATTGTGGCAAATGCATCACGATGGCGGGAGTCATGTGGGAGAGAGACCACGTGACAGACTGAAAGCTGGAGAGAGAATCAGGGTCAGAGTCAGGCTTTTACAACAACTTGTTCTCAAGAGAACTACCCCAGGGGTCCCTAACCTTAATTCCTTCCAAGGAAAACACCAGCAGTGACCTTCCACTAGGCCCTACCTCCTAAAGGTCCACTGCTTCCTGTCATTGCCACACAGAGGACCAAGTTTCCAGCACACGAATCCTGGGGAGATGAACCATTCATAGCCCAACGGGAACACACACATTCAGACATCCAAGCACAGATTTCATTTCTGGCATGGGCAAGGCACAGTGCTGTACAGGATGTGGACGAGGCCCCCGCCATTCCCGAGTGTCCAGCATGCTGCTTCCCTGTCTTGGCTGCACATTAGTCACCTGAGGAGCTTTTAAAGACAACCCAGCTTGGCCCCAGTCCCCACCAACTGAATCCACACCTCTAGGGTGGGGCCCCGCATGAGGGCTTTCCCCAGCTTTTCTGGACCCCAGTGTGCATCAGGGCTGAGAACAGCACGGCACCTGGTGGAACAGACATAGAGCGCTGCTTGCTTTGGAGTAGGGAAACCCAGGGCTGAACCTGACCCGTCAGCTCACTGGGCACTGTGACTTTGACAGCTGCTTACTTTCTGTGCATCTTCATTTTCTGGCCCATAAACGGGGGTCCTATCACCATCCCCATGGACTTCTTGGTGCCATTGCATAGTGTAACAGCCTGGTGCTGCAGGTGATGGCCAGTCTATGGGAGGTGACCAGTGAAGAGTTGGTGGAGGTTTCTGGAAAGCAAGAGTCAGGTTTGTGGAGCAGTGAGGAGCTGCGCTTGAAATAACATTGAATATAAGTTGGGCGTGGTGGAGCACACCTGTAATCCCAGCAGTGGAGAGGCTSAGGCAGGAGGATCACAAGTTCCAAGCCAGCCTCAAGGTCCTAAGCAACTCAGTGAGACCCTGTCTCAAAATGCAAAATAAAAATGGCTGAGGATGTGGCTCTGTGGTTAAGCATCCCTGGCTTCAATCAAAAAAGAAAGAAAAAAAGGAAAAGAAAGAAAAGAAATAACATTGAACCGTCCCAGAGATGGGAGTTGGAGAGGAGGTAGGGCTGAGCCACACCTAAGAGGCTGACGTGTGGGCTCTAACCTCAGAGTCCCGGGCCGTGCCTGCCTGAGGCCTTCCGCTCTTACCCAGCAGTGGGTGTGCTTTCTCCATACCTCCTTCAAGGCCCCAGAGGGAAGGTGGGGCTGTGTGACACAGCTGACCCAACCCAGTTCCAGGGCTGGCCACCCGCTGCCCCTCTGTGTGGTCTCCCTGGTTCACTGACTGGCTTCTTCCTCTGGGCCCAGCCTGGCTGCCTACATCACTGCGGCAAGTCTCCTCGCCCTGCTCCCTGTGCCCCCCGGCCCCTCAGCCTGCTGCCTCTCCCTCCTCCTGTCTCCTCTCATTCTGATCCTGACTCAAGAAAGGTTGGGGCTCGAGGCTGCTCCGCCTGGCTGTTCCAGATCACCTGCCCCACCACCACCGCTGCTCCCTCAGGAGGGATTCCCCAAGTCACGGCTGCTGTCATCTGGCCCCCTCAGTCATCCTTCTCCAGCCATTGCTTTCTCATGAATTTACACATGAAGCTCCCCCGTGTCAGGAGACGCCTCCATGGGCCTCTGCATGCTCACGAGGGACGGTCTCCTGCTAGCTCCATCTCCCCTGCAGTCTGCTCCCAGTGCCAACTGGGTGCGGAGGGAAAAGTGCACCCAGTGCTGGAGCCACCCTGGAAGGTGGGGCCTGGGGAGCAGGCAGAACCGCGGGCCCCTCCTTGTGGCTGCAGGAGGGGCGACAGAGAAGAAGGGGGTGGCCTGGCTACGCTGGAGGGTCAGGTACCAGGCGCAGATGGCACGTATTCTCTCTGGAGAGTGCCCGCCCAGTTCTTATTTGAAAGCCAGCTCTGTGTGGTCCTGGGTCACCAGCCCGCCCGAGGGGTGACTGGTGCTGGGGCTAGCTCTCCTTGCAACAAACAGGAGGCTGCCGTTGTCACTTTATATTTAGGCTTGCAAATTCAGCACATCGAGGGCTATTTCTTCCCAGGTCTTGGCCTGAATTTAGGGTGAACTGTAGCCAAGTCAGGGGCCGCTTGGGGTTTTATTATTTAGTTAACCTATGTTGCTATTAGTGGACAGAAACCAGCTTCACTAAAGTTGGCTAAAAATTGAGTATGCAACTTATAAAAGACTTTTGGAACTATATTTAACAGGCAGTGCATCCTTGGAGCAAAACTTCATGAATCAAGGCAGCTGGATTTGGGGTTCTTAAGACTTTTCCTACTCACTTCCTTATCTCCCCCCACCTCCCCTAACACACACACACACACACTCGGCTCTCAGGAAGTCTGGGGGTGGCAGTACAAAGTTGCCGTGAGAACCGTGGGGAGGTCTGAATCCTCTTCCAGGACCTCTGATGTCCCCTCACCAGCCTCTGGCTGAATGGGCCTTTTCCCAGYGCCCCTGGTGGGGAGTGAAGGCTGGTTTGCGGGCCGGGCTGGGCCACTTGTCCCTCCAGGATGGGCACAGTCCCGCCAGCCTCTGCACCATTGCCCTCCCTTTGAGTGACATAGCACACCCCCTGTTTAGCTTTAATCTGGGCAGGACAGTCTCTTCCTTCACATGGTCATCGATGCCTTGAGGTCCTCCCTGTGGGTCAAGGGCATAGTCAAGGTGAAAGGCAGCCCATCTTTTCTGCCTGAAATGATGTTTCATTTCCAAATTGGACACAATGCTCCGTTTCTCCCCCCAGGCTTCGTCTGAGCCCTGGAGTAGTTTGCTGCCACATGGATCGATAGGAGCTTTTGAGGACAGTCTTTAGCTTGTCCTGGCTATGTGGGACAGCCAACTCTAGGCCACATCTGTCAGGATGGTCTTCCTGATTGCTTTGCCCCTTACTGGGGGAGAACGAGCAAGAAACGCTCTTGCTGAAGCCCCACCTGAGAAGGAGGAAGCTCACAGGCTCATCCTGAGAGAACACCCGCACATCTGAGCTACCCAGGACAGGAGTGTTGTCCCATGCCACTGTGGTCTCCTGGCAGGGCTTGTCAGGTTGACCTTTGTCCTGCAAGGCCCCATTCCCTTAGTTGTCCCCTGTATCTGAGCCTGGGGATGTTTCACTTTTAAAGAGATGAACACTTACCTGCCACTTTGCCACTTCAAATGGGACGTACTAAGGGTCTCATCACGCCATCCCTACCTGCTAACACAGAGGTGCCCGTCCTCAGCCTGGGACTGCGGAAGGGAGGTAGTGGCCTGAGAGCCACCTGTTTCCCCAGCTGCTGGGTCCTTGCTGTGCCTCCTGAGGCCAGCCTGACCTCCTGCTCTTCAGGAAACACGATGCTTTTTCAGGTTTTTCGCCTGCGGCAGGGTTATCCCCTCCCAACTTTCACCTTGAAGGCCCATTTGTGATTGATGTCAGCTGTGCTGGTTCTCCAGCTTTATTGTCATCTGGAGAGCTTGGTAAGAACATGTGTCTGCCAGAAGCCTGTCCCAGAGCTAGCTAGCACCCTCCTCCAGGGTAGATCCCCGCCCCCCACTAAGTTTCCAGACTCCACTCCAGAGAATGGCCCCTGGGGACTGGAGAGGAGCCGCTGCAGGGGGCCTTTGGACCCTGAGAAGAGCTGCTCCAGGAGAGAAGGGCTTTCCTGGGAGGGGGGTCACCTTTCAGGGTTAGCACCCAAAGGAATCAGGGCAGGTGATGCTGTCAACCTACTCACCTGGGCGTCCCTGCCATTTCCTGTTTAACCCTCCACCCTTGCCAGCCTGTTAATCTGTGGGTTTTTGTTGTTATTTTTATTTTGGGCAAGCAATAAGTTGGTGCTGGGACATTTCCACTCTGGGTGACTAGTAAGCTAAAACAAGACCAAATATTAGACTCAGAAGGAAAAAAATCACAAAAAACTATGCCGTTGAGGCAAAGGATAATCAATGATTAAAATGTTAGAGTTTTGTTTCTGTTCTGGGCTATTCAGAATATTTTTGAGACACTGAAAATTATTATTGGTTCCCAAAACAATGGGCATAAAATTAGGACATAAAAAATGGCCAGTGATCTTGTTTTCAAGATAGTTTGACCTTTTTCTTCGGGTTCTTATGGGTGCAGAGACGGTCTTCTAGTTGATCCTGTGG